ACTTTTACTTTTCACTTTTTGTAAGTGTATTCAATTAAAGTGTTTATTTATATTTCCAACATTACTATACTATGTCCAGTTTTTTCCTTTTGACATGTACCCTGGGACATTGAGGACACCTGTAGCTGAGCAGTTAAATAAACCTTGATGGGCTCATAATACTCTGACTTTCTGTGAGTGCAATATTAACACAAGGGGCCACATTTTGTTTATATAGTGTTGCCCTATGAATTTTCTCTCTGCCTTTATTCTTTAGGTGTATCTTATATTTTTATTCATATTAAAAGCACAGTATTAGTATACAATGCTATGGACTGTTGTTTATTATTTTTTCCTATGTGGTTTGTGTATAGGTCCAAGTCAAGCCCTTTGATATTGTATCAACTCTTTTTTCTCCTACAAATGCAGACATTTCTTTATACCATTTACAGCATCACTTTGAACAGGTAAATTAGAAAGATCCAGTAGAGGCTAGTCAATACTGGATACAGTGCCAAGTCTCCCACCTCCCCTGTTTTGATGCAAAAAATATATTATTGTGATGAGGATACGTGTGCATGCGTTAGTAAAAAAATAAAAATATATAGCATGTTGTGACTCATGTTAATATCATTTTATCTGCAATTTTCTTCCCCATCTATTGATGCTGGATAAGCTGCTGAGAGGCAACTAAGTTTGTTTAGGATTTGGTACCTAAAAAAAATAAAATAAAAAAATAATAATTTCTTGGTACAGACCCTCAAATAGACTTTACATGATACCACCACATTATGGACATCCTAAAACACATGACTAGGTCTTGTCCTGTCTTCTATAATTTTCGTCTGGTAACAGCATAAGATAGTGGAGTTGGACCTCTTCAAAATAGTTTGCTATATTTCAAATATATGTATCTGTTGGTGATGAACCAGCATGCCATCTCATTGGTTTATGGGGTTAAGTAGGCAGATATAACATTTTGAAAAGGTGCGCTATATCTTTAAAATAATATATGATGTGCACCTGAAAGGTGCAACACAGTGAAAAGTGTCAGTGCAATGCACAATATAGTGCCAGCAATAAAAAAAATCTATAAATTAAATAAGTGTGCAAATTCACTAGTGCATTAAGTGCACTAATGCTGGGTGGTATAAAAGAGTAAACAAGGAGAGAGCAGTACAAGTCTGCTCTAACTTTTCTGGCTATGATACCTTCCAGGAAAATCTCAAGGTCGCTTTGAGAGCCCTTCCGTATAAAAAAAAAAAAAGTAATCTTTTTTTTATATGGAAGGGCTCTCAAAGCAACCTCGAGATTTTCCTGGAAGGTATCAATCAGAACAATTGGAGTATACAATTAAGCAGCCAATTCAGCACATCTAATATTAGTTTCTTGAACGTAGAGATTTACGTAGACGATGGTATTCTAAAAACAAAAAACTATTTCAAAAAAAGTAGACGCTAATAGCTATGTTTTGTATAAGAGTGGTCACTATACCCCCTGGTTAAATAACATTCCAAAAGGGCAACTACAGAGGATAAGAAGGAATTGTACCGTCAAATAAATATTTGAAACACAAGCTAAAACTGTGATAGAGAAATTTTCACAAATGCAATACCCTAATAACATACTAGATAAGGCATATGAAGAAGTAGAAAAATTAGATCAAAATGAATTCGTTTTTAAACAGAAGAATGTAAATAATCAACAGGACAATTTTAATTTGTAACCTTTAGTTCTAGATTTTAATAGGGATTCCAAAAAAGTTAAGTCAATTATCAATAAGCACTGGCACTTTCTAAAAAAACATAGGGAACTATCGACTATTATTCCTTTCATTACGTTTAGGGGCACGCTTAGTTTAAAACAAATTTAAACTTCTAACCATCCCAAAAGAATCATTCCAAATACAAATAAAAAAGGTTTTTATTCATGTGGGAAATGTGCCGGCTGCAAGTGCAGTAAAAATAGGACATTAAAGGGTATCAGCAAATTCAAAACTAAGTACAAAGCAGAAGAATTTATTATTAAAGATTTTATCACTTGTTTTACTAAGAATATAATTTATCTTTTAATATGCCCATGTGGGTTCCAATATGCTGGTAGGACCATTCACCCTGCACATAAAAGGATATATAAGCACATTAATGATATCCGAAAAGGTTTCAATCAACATTGCATCTCTGTACACTTTAAGAAGTACCACAATAAAGACCCTAGTGGCTTAACTTTTTAGGGATACAAATAGTTAAAAAAAAAAAAAACCTGGCGAGGAGGAAATTATATTCAACAGATAGGGAAAGAAGAGATGAAGTGGGTACATAAATTAGAGACTCTTGAACCTAAAGGACTTGACATAGAATTCGATCTATATAATGTTTTATGAAACAAATATTTATTGTATTTTTTATCATTGTCTATTTTTAAACACATAGGGTATTACACTGTTTGCAATTTTATCTGGTATTAATGTCCCTTTTTTCTCTCCTTTTTAGTAGGTTTCTTAGTGTTTATAGTTTTTATTTTCATATTTTATTATGTGTGTATACTAGTTTCTTTTATAATTTGTCTTTCTCTCTCTCTCTCTATATATATATATATATATATATACTGGGTATTTTGTTGTAACTTCTGGGACACTTCATTGTTTCGTGATTTCCGTCAGATACAATGTTTAGGTGATATGCCAGAAAGTTGTGGACTTTATATACTTGCATTAAAACATGCAATCACTAGGACTTTAGGTTTTCAATAAAAACCAATGATGAAGTGACTATTACAAACCACGCCTATTATGGCGGTTTAAAAATAACAGGACGGCTGGATTGTGACGTGATCTGAGGAAGCCACCCAGGCGAAACGCGTCATCACGTCTTTGTTCGTACAACGTCATCACACCATCACGTGGTCGTACGAAGCACTGGTTCCCAGAAGAACTCCTTACCTTGGAAAAAAAGCGAATGCTAGCCTCGACTTTGACAGACTGTACAACCGAGCGGTATGAACTTCAATAAGGGGTATCAAAAGAGCTGTATCACTTATATGTGAACTTTTTACCTCATGTGGAAATAAAGCATACTTTCGTATTCAGCTGCTATCCTGATTACCTGCCAATATCCAGACCTGTCCCTAGGACCAAAGCCAGATAAGTTAGAGCAGACTTTTACTGCTCTCTTCTTGTGAGTCTCATTTAATCCATTTATTTACTATTTTATACCATATAGTATTATACTATATTATTTTCCTTTTTTTCTCTTTTATGTATTATTGTCCTACATATCCCTGGAAGGAATATTGTGATACTCCAATTTTAGGAGATTATTAGTAAGTTTCTCTAGTAGACATCACTTAATGCACTATTGAATTTGCAAGACTATAATACAAAACCAGAAAAATCTACAATTACATTCAATAATAGTAGATCCTACTATAATCTACTATTATTGAATGTAATTGTATATTTTTCTTACACCATTGTGGCCCCTGAGGAAGTTCCGTTCAGGAACGAAACGAGTAGGACCATTTCTTTTATTCTTTTATTTATATTTATGTTTATGGTGATTGTCTCACCTTTTTATAAATAAACTATCCTTTTTAACCTTCATCCACCTGGAGTCCTGTTCTATCAGCCAGTGCCTGAGGAGTGGAGAGTGGGAATACTAGCCCCCCAACTATTTCGGTGGAGGCACCCTATGAGCGCTGTGTTCGTCACCATTCTATTAATTCAGCCGTATCCCTAAATCTGCTGTTGATTGTCTATACTAGTGAATTTGCACACTTATTTAATTGATAGATATTTTTATTGCTGGCACTATGTTGTGCATTGCACTGACACTTTTCACTGTGTTGCACTTTTCAGGTGCACATCATATAGTATTTTAAAGGTAAAGTGCACCTTTTTATTTTTATTGATTAATGTTATTTGGGTGTTTTGAGCTACTTCACTGTTAAGGTGCAGCTTTACCTTTTTTAACATTTATATATTTTATCATTGCATTCTAAATTTTAGCGCCATTTTGCCTGTTCTTTTTTGATGTTAAGTGGGCAGAGCCCAAAATGTCAATGGGCGATGCTCCAACATTTTTAAAGTTCACCAGCCACCACAATGAGGTTCATGGACTATTTTCAGTTAACCAATATAGGTATAATCTTTACATCACACTTATTTTTTTTAATCTTGAAACAACATATACATACAACCAATGCAAAGGCAACTAAACTGTTTAATTTCAGGCCGCGGTTGGCTTGTCTACCTGTAGGAAATGCAGATAACCACAGAGATCAGTAAACAGAATAGGAAAATACATATTTTCTTGTTAATATTCTTTTAAAATATGCAATATAATGTTGAGATTAATGTAGAAGTCAGTGTGAATAATGTTTTACGATACCGAGTGTTGAATCCGTTAATGTCCCAGGTCTAGAATCCTTATCGTGTTCACACTAAAGTGCAAACAATATTTAGCAAATATCAACATACTGTTTACTATCTACTGCTTCAAATGTCACTGGAAAAAAAACTAAAATGGAATCAGTTTACCACAATAATCTCACCACAATAATATTACCCAGCAGCTTGTATTCCAATTATTTTTGTTTCACTAAAGCAAGACAGCTATTTCTTCCCTCTGTGTTTGTAGTGAACTGTTAAAACATGTTAAATGATGAATTATGTTACTAAATATGTATTGTCTGTCTACCACATCTGTATTTTCCTGTTTTGCATATTCATATAACATATTTACATAGTTTAAATAACATTACTTGACATATTTCATCACTCAGTTTATATTAATTAAATCTGAAATTTTAGTCATTCATTAAGTATTCTTTAAGTATCTAATTCTTACCTATCCTGCTCAACCAACTAAAATAACTAACAGTGTTCCAAATATAAACACTGCACAGTGTTAAATGTAATCCTGCAATAGTGATGTCCCGAACCGTTCGCGAACGGTTCGCTACGAACGGTTCGCCACGTACTCATCATTGAGTAAACTATGACCCTGTACCTCACAGTCAGCAGACACATTCCAGCCAATCAGCAGCAGACCCTCCCTCCCAGACCCTCCCACCTCCTGGACAGCTCACTAAGAATGCAGCTTCACAATGAATGTAAAATGGATGCTGTCCAGGAGGTGGGAGGGTCTGGGAGGGAGGGTCTGCTGCTGATTGGCTGAAATGTATCTGCTGACTGTGAGGTACAGGGTCAAAGTTTACTCAATGATGAGTCCGTGGCGAACCGTTCGTGGCGAACCGTTTGCGAACCGTTCGGAGCATCACTACCCTGCAATAATAAAAATAATAATACTCATTCTAAAGGTTGAATCACAATAATTGCCTTTGAATGAGTCCAGACTTGATTATTATGCACAGAGAACTACAGTTAAGTTAAATGTTTTATACCAGTAATATTGGTGTTTAACCCCTTAAGGACACATGACATGTGTGACATGTCATGATTCCCTTTTATTCAAGAAGTTTGGCTCTTAAGGGGTCAAAATGTATGTTTTGTTCAAGAAGGTTACACATAGAGATGGGTAGAAACATTGAAATATGCCCCTAACCCTTTGTTGTCCTATTCTAGATCTTGGTAACTCATCGCCCAAGACATAAATAAATTCACAGTCATATATACCTTGGTAATATTATAATTTGGAAATATTTATAATAAAAATTTAAATTTTAGCTATTATAGTAGTTACTTTAATTTGTATATAAAGTAGCGTCTGGAGTCTCGATGTTATTGCTATCAAATGTAATTCCTGTTGTAGACTGAAGTAAGGCAGATACATTCCCTATTTCTTCCCAAATCCAATAGGATTAATGTTGTATTTAACATATTGGAAAATAGTAAATAACAAGAGGGCACCATACATACATACACTGATACAAATGTTCTGTATAAGGCAACAGTATATTGCTAAGGAGAAGATAATGAATTATGATTGAATACAATTACTATAGTTCCCAATACACATCCATGCTACATATATGTTACTACTTCTCTTGGATGTCCAACAACTCTGAGATGTAGAGACCATGCCAACACATGACACTTGAAGTACAAAGCACTTTATTTTGCAGACAAAAATTCATATCTTGGTTGATTCACATTCTTTAACTAGAATAACTTGTAAATCTTTTACCAAATAGCAGTGCTATTTATGAAATATAACATTCATTATCTTACATAAATAGCCGAGTAAAGAAGGTCATTTGAAAAAGGGAACATGATGGACCTCTCTACAAGATGATAAACCTTGGTTGTCTTCATTTGAGGTCTTTGCTACACTATATATGAAATTAATCATAGCCTATCCAAATATAATTTTTGAGAATCACACAAAAAGAATGGACACATGATCAGGCAGATAACATGACAATCTATACTACTGTTATAGCTCTATGAAGGGAATTTACAACCAGTAAGTTAGTACTCCAGGAATGCATGAACACTCCTACGGTAACGGCAAGGGAACTGTACTTAATCTCCTGCACTTTATTAGTTTTAATATTAATACTTATTAGTAACAGTATTAATATTAATATTAGTTTTATTTAATCCAATGTTAGTAATACACTAACCAGTATGCAATGGAAGATACAAAAGAAAAAAAAAATGTTTTCTAAAAAGAGAGCACCAATTATTGCAAGTTTCTTATAGATGTTCCAAATAGATGCCAGTATGATTAATAGGGGTAGAAATATAATGTTTTAGTAATGCTGTGCAGCCAACAAATACATTTTAGAGGAAGATATTAACTATATTAGAAAGTCCATAACATACATAACTCTTGATAGATTTTTGGTCGTGACACAAGTAGTCATTCTAAACAAAAAAGTTAAATTTCTCTTCTTTACATAGATACCTAAGTTATGTAAAAAAGATACACTCAAAGTAAATTTTCGCTTGCAGCATTTGTGATTCAAATACCAAATTTGGGCCTCAATTTAATCTTAAACTTTTCAAATTATTTAATAATTTTGGATACACTTTTAGATGATTAAATATTTTGAAAAATATTTTACAATTTAATCTATGTTGTAGAGATCGTTTTTAAATAATTAAAATCTAAGTAAGTGGCTTATACCTTCCCAACTTGAGGCAAATGTACGGATATACCTAATTGATCAAATCTTGGCTAATTTAGAAAATGCTGTGGACTGATGTCTTCTAAATCCTGAAAAATGTTATACAGACAAAGGGCGAGATTTATTCTGTCTCTATGTAAAGCCTTTGTCTAACTTATTGTAATGTAAGTTATTGTCTTATGGTGTGCTGTGTTTTGGTGAACTGCACAATAAATGAAATTCAATCATTCAGATTGCATGTATGTTCTGATATGGCTTCAAGGCACTTTTTCTTCACTTGCACGTAACCGTTTTCTGGCTATAGAAGACGTGAAAGCCAGTTGTAAAGCTTAAATCTTCTTAATGGTGGTTGAACTTTTCTGAAATCAGCTTGTTGTGCCAAAGCATCGCTCGCTCAAAAGATCAAATTATAAATTTAATGTTGAGTTATGCCATAAAGCATTAATGATGGGCAAGCTCTAGAGAGAAGGGCAAATTATGCTTAACAAAAGGAAAATAGATGGATGGAAATAATGACTGCCAAAAAACTTGATAGATAACTACAAGGGATTCTGGACACTCTAAATTAGGCTAGATGAAGTGTACAGATAAACGAGAAAATCATGAGCACCTTGTCAGCATGATAAATAGATTGCATGTAAAAACCAAGTGTAAATCAACAGAGCACAAAAGTTAGGAATTGCTCACCATTACTCAGAATAAACTCATATATGTTTTGCATCATTGTTTCATTTCTACTACTTGAACATTCTGATTTAAAATGACTATAATTTGTGCATTTTTTGTGCAACGATAAACTTTAAATAATTTTTTTCAATACTAAAACAAGTGAATGTACGTGCATACAGTTGACAGAATTTGTTATATGGGCTTACATGAAAATATAAGCTTTTGGACCGGTTACAAAGAGGCATGATATCACACATGATTGTTTGATTTTTTTATGTTATGTATCACATACAAAAAATATAAAAGGCCAACACTACTGCTAGGGAATAAGTGCCTAGTATGGAGCAAATTTAACGCAAGTAGAAGAGACGTAACTAATCACCATAAACTCATCCCAATTGTTTTGGCCCAAAATATGGAAACCATAGAACACAGAAGAAAAACTTAAGACCTTACCGGTGTTTCCACCTATTAGGTCCTCAGTTTTTAAAGAGTGCAGCGCTATATTATAATGTGAGGTGAAAATGTGTTTTTCAAAATCCAAAACACTTACCCTCTACAATGATCTCAAGATAGTGTGTACATAAAAAGAAAAAGAAAAATATACAGATAATAGTGCAATATGTTATAAATTATGGTAGAGCAATATGTAAGTGACAGATGTGTCTAAACTCACATTTTTTAGAGCCTTTTCTAGTTTATAGGCTCTAAACTTCCAAGCGTCTTGTGTCTTTTTGGGTAAATCACACGACCCCTCTCTCCAGGTAAAGGTGTGTTCCTCTCCACAGCACGTATAGAAAACACAGATATATCGCACTAAGTGTAGTATCTCCAGTGATGGTAATATTTATAAAATATACAATTTTAAAGTGCTTACCTTTTTTAGAGCCTTTTGATAACTGGCTCTAAGTATACCAACTTAGTGTCAATTTATGGGGTGACACTACCCCTTCCCTGGAATTATTTGATGGATCCAGTGAATGATGTAAAAAAAGGGGGATGTTTATTATCATTTACTATATATATATATATATATAAATTACTTTAAAAAATACATTAGTAAAAATAACAAATAAAAGGGTTTTTAAACAGAATAATAATAAATATGGGTGGTACAGAAAAATATTGAGTCCACTTTCAGCCAAAACGCGTTTTGCCTATTTGTTCGGCTTCCTCACTCAGCCAAAATATGGAAAGACAAAAGGACGTGCAATTATCACAGAAAGTGAAGTGCAGAAAGGTGACCTTTAAATCTAAGAGCATCTTATTTATATTATGGGCAGTGACTGGCTGTGGAACTCTGTAACCCAAAAGATAGTAATAGATGCTGTCAGTCTGCTTGTTTCTGATCTGCCAGAAAATGTTCTCAGAAACCTGGAAGTTTTATCCCAAGCAGATGGAGATTTAGGCGCTGAGGAAACATTTTGTCAAACTGCAAAAAAATGGTGATACTGTTCCCATTGCCCACTGGTAACCAACCACTACAATAGGCTGTAGTGGATATGGTACTTGGAGTGTCCATTTACATTTTAACATTTTGGAGGAGTACTAAAGGAAACATCAATTTTGGGTGCCAAACAGCATCACTACACCTCTTGTCTGGAGTACCCTTTCAGTTAACTAGAGTTAGTGTGCACATGGTGGGAATTCAGAAATACACAATCCTTAATAAGGAAAGTCCTCATAATTGTAACTTCAAGATGTGTTCTAAAAAGAGGGCATTTTTATAAAAGATTTGAAGAAATTTGGCATGTTGAAGACAATACATAGTAATATGAGCAAGTTCACTTAAACAGAGTTAAAAAATATACTCTAAGCTAAGCCTACAAAGGTTTTCAGTATTGCATAATCTAGTGATAAGCAGAAGGATGAAGGACACACAGCCTCTAGGCTAAGTAATTTGGTTCTATGGGTTAATTATTAAAGCAACACCACAGGTACCATAACTACTAGTGTTTATGGGGCCAAGAGTGCCCTGACACCATCCAATGGTAAGATGTTAGACTGTTTTAGTATGTTTCTAAACTCATCTGGATCCCATTGGGCAGAATGACTGCAAAAAGTGTTTTCCTGCAACAAAATCCAGATTGCTCTAGAGCTAGAGTGCTCTAAGCCAATGAGCGGTTTCTTTCATTGGCCATGCTTCACTGCAGAGAAGACTGGATGCAGAAACCAGATGGGACCCAGGTAAGTTGTAAAATCATACTAAAATAGGTTGATATCTTAATGTAGGAGGGCACCAGTGTAGTGCTGGTTACACAACATCACCTGCAGGTCATAGTAGTTATGGTAAGATATGTTCAATCCTATCAGTATGGGTTTAGCTAAGAATTACACAGAATGTATAATAAAGTAATTAAAATTATTCTATTAAAGCATGACAGAGTAAGACAATATGGCTTAGGAAATGCAATGTTAGTCTGAGAG